AAGGCTCAGAAAGTCAGTTTCTTGATATTTCGCTATACTGAAGATCACTAATCACCGGAATAGAGCTCTGCATGCTCGTCTTTCACAGAAGGAGTCAGTCAACTACGAACCCATCCAGATGGAGTATGCGCGCAATCTCGTCCTCGACATCCTGCAGAGACCCGCAGGCCATCGAGATCACGCCAAACGGTTCGTTACCCCCTGTTCTACCCATACCGCCTCGTATTTCTTACACCCTATCCCAGCTATGCTGCTGCTCTGGTCCTTACCATGGCATACGGAAAAACGACGCCCACTTACCCCACCGACCCGGTAGTTCGCCAGATTAACCTCTACCTCACGCGACTCGGCCAAGTTCTACTTCCCGGCGCATGGCAGATTGAATCGTATCCCTTCCTGCGCTACGTTCCTGGATACCTTTCCATCCTGCAACAATGGCACTCCGAGGAGCTCGGCCTGTTCCGCGAGATGGTGGACAATGTGCGGTGGGAGATGAAGGAGGAGGCGTCAGGCAAGGTTCCGAGCGAGAAGCTGAAGAATAGTTTTGCGAGGTACTTGTTGGAACATCAGAAGGAGTTTGAGCTCAGTGATGATGAGCTCGCGTATGTTGCTGGGTCGATGTTCGGCGCCGGCGCGGATACTGTTCGTGCCCTTCTTTTTCTCTGTCGTTATACTCGTCTGAACTTCATTCATAGACGGCAGCGGCTATCAGCATTACTGTACTTGCTGCTGCGAAGTTCCCGGCGGCACAGGCTAAAGTTCACGAGGAGCTCGAACTGGTTCTCGCAGGCAAACGTACGTATCCCTGCTCCTTCGTCAATAACGCCATTCGCTAATGCGTGACCCATCTAGCACCAACATTCGCTGACGAAGATTCGCTGCCTCAAATGCGCGCATTCGTACTCGAGACACTGAGGTGGAGACCTGTCAGCGTTGCTGGTGTGGCTCACCGCGCTACGAAGGATATCACATGGCGCGGTTACCGCATCCCTGAAGGCGCCAGCGTCGTCGGAAATCACTGGTATGTACTTTGCTTCTTTCTCTCGCTGCACCATACTGACGAGCGTATGCGAACAGGGCGATCGGACATGACCCTGAAGCCTTCCCCAACCCAGAGCACTTCGATCCTCAGCGATGGCTCACATCCGAGGGCACCCTCAGGCAAGACATGAAGAGCTACCCCTTCGGTTTCGGCAGGAGGATTTGCCCCGGGCAACATCTCGCAGACGGGTGAGCACTAGCGACAACCTCTTCCTGTCTCCTATGCTAAATCTCTCGCAGCTCGATCTTTATCACGACTGCTCTGACCTTGTGGGCCTTCAACATTGCCGAAGTCGCCTCGAGCCCTATCGACGTCATGGCGTTCACGGACACTATGAACACGCACCCCCTGCCATTCGAGGTTCAGTTCACGCCAAGGCAGGGTGGGGAGAAAGGCGTTCTGGAGGGCCTCCAGGGCTATGTTGCTGAGGTTTGAGCATCGAGTCCGAACGATCTTATCGCACATTTGTCGCACGTATATTATTGTACACATGCCACTTTGAGATTCGTGTATCATAGGTCCGTCGCATGTATGTAATATATCTATACCTTGAGTACCATCATGATTGTCGCATTTGCAGTGCACTGTTTGCGTTCGCGGACCATGCTCAGCCTCCCTTATTTCGCGCTCGCGCCGGCCCTAAAGTAATTTTCACAATTCGCCACCAACCCCCTATTATCTTCTTCGCACCATGTCTACCGATGAACAGCACCTCCCGAAACGAAAAAGGACAGACGACCCCGCGGGGCAGGTTCCAGCACCCGTCGAGCCAGTACGATCTGACATTTGGTACGAAGATGGGAACGTCGTCTTGCAAGCTGGCGGCATGCAGTTCAAGGTCTTTCGGGGGGTTCTAGCTGAATGCTCTTCCGTGTTCAAGGACATGTTCACATTTCCCCAGCCGTCCGCAGCAGACACGGAGCAGGTTGAGGGATGCCCTGTCATACATCTTTCGGATTCGGCTCAGGAGGTGAAGATTGTATTACAGGCGATTTGCCAACGAAAGTGCGTGATCGTCAATCTATGGTCATTGCGGGCGATACTGACGATTCTGTGACTAGATATGTTAATAATGGAGGCAAGCTACCCTTGGACGTGATAGCTGCCTTTCTTTCTCTGGGGAGAAAATACGACATCCAAAAGCTACGCGCCGAAGCGCAGATCAAGCTGTATCAACAGTTCCCTTTGACGCTGGAAGAGAAGGACAAGCTTCCTACAGACACTTTCATCTCCATCGACATGCTCGCGAACCACTACATGAAACTAGCGGTCATAGCACGCAAGGAGGGTATACTGTCTATCCTTCCCGACTTGCTTTATCGATGCTGCGAGATATACTCAGTGGAGCATTTTATTCATGGCATCATCGTGGATGATTCTACATACCGGCTGGTCGCTAAGGATCAGATAGCATGCCTTTCAGCTGAACGGGCCATTAGCGTCGCTCAATCTTTGACAACTTGGAAGTGGGCATACTCGGATGACGAACGATGCTTCCGACCCGAGCAGTGTATTCCAGCCCGTCAGAAAATCCTCCAACAACTTCTGCCTGTACCGGAAATCGAAGCTCTGGTCTTATGGCCCCTTGAACGCACAGCAGAGCTCTGCCTGTTTTGTAGAGCGGGTGCCCGGGTCATACACGAATCTGGCCGGACAAGGTTTTGGGAGCAATTGCCTGATATTTTCGGCTTACCGCCGTGGGGCGAGCTCGAGAAGGAAAGGGAAGACATGTATGTTCACGCCAATACCTATTATATCAGCTTTCTAACTATGCATTTACAGTGAATGAAATCCCTTTTACCTGTTGGCGGCTATGAATTGAGCGCCAGAATCTAGTGATAGTTGCTGTAAGAGCAAGAGGCATTAGGACAAATTTAAAAAGATGTACAGACGTGAATTATTTCATTGCTATGATGTCGTTATATTCGACCTTAAAGCAGCATTGCGACGCTAAGAATACAGCCTTAAACGAAACCGAAAGTACTAGAACCGATATGCTCATGTGCATAAGTCACAATGTACAGGTCTAGGTAAGGTATCGCACGACGTCGAAAGCATGCGAACAGATTCATATAATGCATTTCTTGTCAGTCGCCAAGAATAATGTTCAGGTTCGTATTCTACCACGCCCACGTCGTCCCATCGTAGTTCAAAAACTTACCCCCATCTTTCTCTCGCGTGCTATTCTCTACAAGATCCAGTATAGATGTTGCGCTCTTCTCCGGTGAGATCAACGGATGGCTCTTCATAGCTGGATCATGCTCACGCGCGAAGACAGCTGGAAAATCAGGAATTAATAAATCTGGGTTATGACTTGTGTTGTAGACTGACCCATATCAGTAGCGACTCCACCTGGGCTTATGGGGAAGCAAACTAAAGAGACAAGGAGGAATCAGCCCAAGTACATCGCATCGGCAAGCGAGACCAACGCACTCAATTCGGGGTGCTCGAAATGCAGCTTGCGCGCCAAATAGTTCTCCGCCGCCTTTGAACACCCGTACGCAATCATCCCGACTGGCATGCTCGCACCATCCGTAATGCTACCTGCACCGGAAGAAATGGGAATGAATTTTGGGGACGCAGTGCTCTTGGACAGAAGCGGATAAGTGGCTTGGAAGAGAATGTGGGTGCCGACTACGTTGATCTGTGTGCAAGGGGTGAAAAGAGTCAGTAATTGTCGGGTAGGACATAGCCATGGGCGTACGTTGAAATGCTCGCGTAACTGGTCCTCGGGTGTGGTCAATGCCGGGCCAAAATATGCGCTGATGCCTGCATTTTTGGCTGATCAGCCTCGCGACCAAGGATAAATATTTCAACAGACGCACCGGCATTGGCAATCACAACGTCTAGCCTACCCTCTATTTTCTCGATTTCCTTCACGGCCGCATTGTTGTCTTCTTTGTCGCAGGAAGTGAGCTTAACGATGTGCACTCTCCCGGAAAACTTCTGGACTAGCTCGGCGAGCTCAGCAGCCACGGTGGGATTGCGAGCCCCAGCAAAAACGATGGCGTCGCTGGAGCGAGACACAAGAGCCTTCACCACTGCGAGACCTGAACGAAATTGAGTCACGTCCTAGGGCCAAAAGAAATTAGAAAGAGCGCACCAATACCGCGATTTGCACCAGAGACGAGATAGACAGTAGGCGAGGACATTGAGACGTGCTGATGAGTCATTGAACGCGGCTCCCATCTGCCTTTTATTGAGGTTCGGCATTGGGTGGTGGGCTGGCGTGGGACCAATGTTCCGCTGCAGAGCGGATTGGCTGATTAAGAGTGCTCTAAACGTCCGAAAGACATGGCGATCCTCGGGAAGCTGGGTGAACAGCGGAGATTGGGACGAGTAGTCCTTGTGCGAAGCGCTGAATCGTTCCATGGGCTATCTGGCGTGGGAGTTGTGCTCCGTTGCCCAGCGGACTTGCCGATTAAGAGGGCTTGAAATGTCCGAAAATCAAGGAGATCTTGGGGAATGGCCAAGGGGCAGTTATGACTCCTCGATTTCCTGCGTGAAAGGGGCGTTGTTTTGGTAAATATATGAGACATAAGGGCGATGGAGTGTCCTCAAAGTCTGGTCGCACAAGTGGACGGGATTTTCACGGCATGTCGAATAAGACCCCCTCTAAATATTGACAAGGAATCTAGTATCATAGCGAGGATAAGGCATCCAGTTGCGCTGGACTATGGTCAGTCGTAGATCGTTGCGGTAACATCATGTTGTGCTCGCGGCAATTGGGTAAGTATCGAAGTTCTGCATAGGCGCCCAACGAGTCACTGCTTGCCGCGGCCGCCACGTCGCGCCGATCGCAAGTCGCCGACCTGCTTACAATTTTCTTCCGCCAACCACACGCCCATTGCGGATTGATAAGATCTTGTTCTTCTTCTTCAATAACCCCAGTAGACTTTCCTGATGCACGGTTAAACGAGGCCAGTGGGATAACATCGTGGAAAGTGAAATGCAAAAAGGGCCCAACCGGGAATTGAACCCGGGACCACACACATATTCCTCTGACTGCTCAGAGGGACTCGAAAGCCCGAAGCGTGTATCATGCTACTAGACCATTGGGCCGTTGTGAATGCATCGCAACTGCAGAATATCCCTCGTATATCGCCCGAGAAGCCTTGGTGATGTCACACTGACGATAACCTCCAGGCGCCTCACTCCAATCTCACCACGATACGCCTGGATTCAAACCTGATTCACACTGAAACTGCGTCGCTTCGGCCACTAGAGTTACTGACAAGATAATGTGACCCACAGCGGACCCGCTTTCTTACCACTGGCTCCATAGGTTCATCTGATTCGGATCTATAAGTGGGTCGTCGGCGAGCCGGCGTGCATACGCGTATTTGACCTAACTTCGCTTATGTCTAGTAGCCTATCGCCTATATAACAACTTACGGTCAACATTCATCCGCATCGCGCCTACTCACTAATCTCGAATGTCTCAATTAATGCTCTCCATCCTAGTCACTGGCTCCAACCAGGGCCTCGGCTTCGAGGCCTGTCGCCATCTCGCGAAGCTTGCGCATGTTCACCTATTCGTCTGTGGGCGCGATGAGACGCGTGTGCAGGAAGCTGTCCAGAGACTGAAGCAAGACGAAGACAGCGAGGCGAAGATCGACAGCGTAATAATGGATATAACCAATGACCCGAGCATCCGCGCCGCAGCAGCTGATGTGGACGCAAAACTCGGTGGTGCAGCGCTTGATGTGCTTGTGGTGAGCGATTTCTTCGGCGATATTCCCATTGTTCTCTATCGCTGACATCTTGGCAGAACAACGCAGCGGTCTCCTTCGAGCACGAGATTGATTCCGAGCGCG